TACAGTGAAGAGACCAGGGACCTTGGTGCCAGACCAATGGGAAGTCAAATTCTGGCTCTGCCGCTTGTTAGCTGAATGGTATTTAAGTGATTAACTTTGTTAAGTCTGAGTTTATTCATCTATGAGTTGTGAGAATTAAATGATGAAATTATATAAATTAAATTATGTAAACTGCTTAGCCTAGGGTCTGGCACATGTATGTTCAATAATTAAGGGTCATTATTGTTGTTTCTTGCTTATTATTTAATTCTGTTGTCCATAGCCACCTAATTCTTAGTCTTTAGCAGTTCTGGAGCAGGAGTCATCTAGGTGAAAGACAAAAGCTACTTTGTTCCTCTTGTTGGCGTTAGACCAAAAACCTAGGCTGTACCTGTGAAATATTGTTCTTTTTGATAATTAAAAAAAATTTAAAGTAAAAGGAGTTAGTAGATTGCCAGGCATGTTTGTCATATAAAACATGGATAGTAAAGGATTGTAACACCACTTTTATAGACAAAGCACAGGCACTTTTTAAAATGGAAAAGATTGAGGATAAAAATCAAGTCCCCAATGTGAACACAGGTAGTGTTAATTACATTTGATGTTTTGGTTTATACATTGGAGACATATCTCACTTTATATAAATTATGTTAACTTAATATATCTCAAATGTTGACTTTGAATGGTTAAGATATTTTGTAGGAAACTAGAAAATACTCTTAAACAGCTCACTAGATCTTTTCTAAAATAAACAAAAAAAATTCAGAAATTCATGTTCTGCTTGAACTTAATTCAGATATGATGTGGTTTTTGTGAAAGATGGTTTACATTGTTGGAAGGACCTACAATCTAAGGGAAGTTCCCCAGTATCTTGGAAACAATGAAAGAATTCTCTAAGCTCCATTATTTTCTGTTCCCCTGGGCACCACTTAGATTCTCTCGTATCCAGATGATTCACGCCTTAGGCGGATTCCATAGACAATCAAACCCACAGCGCAGAGACCCAGCACGATGGCCCCAATCACGGGAAGCACAATTGTGTAGTCAGACGAACACTCGTCCACTAAGAGAAAAAACAAATACAACATAGGAGGTAAGGTTTGATGAGAACAGACCGGAAAGCAGGCTAGAGTAGGAAGGATGTAAGCTTTGGGGTCAAACCCGGGCTTGACTTCAAATTCCACCACTAACTAACTGTGAATTTGGGTAGGTTATTTAACCTTGCAATTTTCCCCTTTTTATAAAATAAGCAAATAATATGTAAGATTGTTAGTAAATTAAATAAGATAGCCTTATCTTTTCAGCAATAGATATTTAATAAGATTAGCTCCAATTTCTTCTAGGTATGCTCTCCACAAAGTGATGTGTTTACATACAAGATATTGTATCACTAGACTGACTACACATGATCTCTTGAAAACACGTAATGTTTATCCACTTTGTAAAACATTTCTTGTCACACTTAAAGTTCCTTTTTATTGTTTTTAGTGAGCTAAAAATATTAGAATATAGATCTAATAATTTATTAGAGCTTAAAAGTAAAATTTTGTAAATTAGTCAAAACTTTTTTCTTTAACCAACTGAGCTAACCGGCCACGGCTAAAACTTTTTTCTTTATTCCATTAGAGAGTACTTATTCAGTTCATTTAAAATGTAATCAGTCTCTACTGGAGAAAGATGGAGGGCCCTGGGGGTACAGCGGATCCTGACTGAATACAAGTAAATGAAGAACTAAATCAATATCTTAGTCAAGGGTAGATAAGAGGATATATCCATGAGGTCCTTGCATGAACCGCTATTCAAATGAACTTAGGATCACCATTAATCCAATTCTCACCTTAAGTCCAAGGGGAAAAAAAAAAAATCAGTAGGGTCCAGAGAAAGGTAATGATAATTAGAGACTCCAGAAAAAAAAACCCCCAGATCTGTACAAGACAGAAACAGTGCTTGGTACACAATATTTGATTTGGTAATGGACAATGTTTACATAACTATAATAATATATATCTTATTGATTTAATAATAAATAAAGACATAGCCATAAAGGGGTGGTATAAGATTAAATCTTTTTTTAAAAAACAAAGTCTGCTTTTTAAATAAAATTTTAACAATTGATTTTGAGAGAGAGAAATATTGATTTGTTATTCCACTTATTTATGCATCCATTGGTTGATTCTTGTATGTGCCCTGACCAAGACTTGAACCTGCAAACCTTGGTGTTTCAGGATGATAATTTAATCAACTGAGCTACCCAGCCAGGGCCTAAGAGGATTAAATCTTTATCTGCATTAGCAAGAAGTTTAAAGCTGATAAGTAAATTGTAAAAGAAACTTTTAAAATTTTTTTTAAAGAATTATGAAATAGTTATCATAAGAAATTGTTAAAATTAGTTAAAAGTGCTTTATCTTTTAGAGGAAGGACAGGGAAATGTTGTTTTTCATGATAAACCCTTTTGTAGTACATGATAATTTTGTTATTTATATATACCTTTATTAGATATATACTTCTTAGATTAAAAAATAAAAAAAACTGATCAGTTAAGAAGTTAAAATGATTTGGAAAAAATACAGGAAAGTTAGGACAAAAGGTAAAGCACATACCTATTGACCCATTAATCCCACTATTAGGAATTTATACTAAAAATATATTCACAGAAGTACATAGAGATATGTTACAATAATCTGTATTTTATGAAAGCAAAACAAACTAAATACTCATCAAAATTTTTAAATGGTACAATTATACAGTAGCATATAACATAGCCATTTAAAAAAATATGACAGATATCAATGTTTTTTGGAGGGTACACTCTGCTCTATCAATCTGCAACTTCAATTACTAATTTTAAGGAAAAGCTCTTAAACTGTCAAATATGTCTTCCTTCTAATTTTGAGTGCTTTACTTCAAAGACACCAATTATCCTCATGTTGAATGGTCCGAACAGCTCTTATTCCTGGCAGCTTCTCTATAATGTTAGAATTTTAATTTTGTCTGCATCAGCTGATTATCTCAAGTCATTTTCTCTATGAAGACAATTTAGTTTTCAGCCCTATCTATTCTACCTCCTACTATTTCTATTTGTTATGTAAGTATGTTGCTTTGATACTCAATTTGTTTTCTTAGGAGTACAATCACCTATTTACCTCGCTCTTTCATTATAACATCTCTTCTATGAGCTCTGGTTATACGGAATTCACATTCTTATTAATTAATTGTCAGCATAAACCAATTGTCAGGGATTTCTCCCTGTTCCTTCAGCTATGTTTTCTTTGTATTTTATCAGATATATTCCTTTCTAACCCTCCCCTTCTTTAATTTAATTTTTAAAATTGTGGTAAAATAGACATAATATAAAATTTACCATTTTAACTGTTTTTAAGTGTTCATTTTAGTGATATTAGGTAACTTTTATTTTCGTGGAACCATCACCACCATCCACCTCCAGAACATTTTTCATATTGTAAAACTCATACTTGGTATCCATAATTTAATTTAAGCTTTTATTATTCTTATTGTTATTTTTCTGCAGTTAATTTGTATAGTTGTCACATCATTTGTTTTCATCTTGCTTATGCTTAAGCATCTCATCCAACACTGAATTGCCCAAGATATCATTAAAGCAAATTAGGACCTTTCTTATTGTGTTTGAGATCACTTTCTGCTGAGCTGCCTATTTGTTTTCTTTTTCTTTTTTTAAAAGATTTTATTTTATTGCCCTGACTGGTGTGGCTCAGTGGGTTGGGTGCTGTCCCACAAAGTGAAAGGTCTCTGGTTTGACTCCCTGTCAGGGCACATGCCTGGATTGCATACCAGGTGCCCTGTTAGGGTTGTGCAAGAGACAGCTTATCCATGCTTTTCTCCCTCTTTCTCCCTCCCTGCCCCTCTCTGTAAAAAATAGCCATTCGTAAGTACTTTGATCATAAACCTTTGGTCTATACTCTCTTCCAAAGCATTCATATTCCGTGGTCATTTTATATATTTCTTTTTAGAGAGAGGAAAAGGGAGAAAGAGAGAGGGAGAGAAACATTGACCAGTTGCCTCTTTTATGCACCCTGGCCAGGGACCAAACCCGCAACCCAGGCATGTGCCCTGACTGAGAATTGAACCGGACGTGGAGAGACATGGCATCTCTCCAAAGTCAAGCCCTTGCTGTTAAACCTGCGTCACTTTGGGGAATACCAGGTCCTTACATCCCAGATTTTTCATCAACAGCTCCTGTTCTAAAGAGGAAACAGGAATTTCCTGACACTCTAGATGTTGTCCGGGGCTCTCGAAACCTCCTTGAAGCTGCTGTGTGCCCACCCCACCGCCTTAATTCTGGAAAGTGGAAAGAGCTCAAATACCTCAAGGGAAAGCCGGTACCTGTCTTAGATAAACAGTAACTATAGAATTGTTGCCAACTTTCATAAACTTTCTGTTAAAAATAATGAATAGCACCTTTGGCAACTGTAGAAAAACAAGAAACTTCCTGTTAGTAGAAGCAGTTAACATCCAGAAGTCCATGACTGTCCTCTTTTTCTAAATAAAAATTCCAATTCTCCTGTTTAAACAGTCAGTGTAATAGAAAACCATCAATAATATTCTGAGCCTTATTTTACCAGAACTTTCCCCCTAGATCATCCCTCCCGACCAGGAATTTCCTGGTTTGTAATTATTTTGGTAAATGTTTGCTGAAAGTGGCAAGTAGGGGCATAATCTGAGTAGATCCACCTCTTCTTCTGGCCAGTTCTGATTGTTCTGTTAGTTTGCCTACTCTCCACAGTGGCCCAAATTAACAAATTTACAAAGATAGACTAGCATCAAAGAAAAATAAAGACAAAGTAGAAAAAACCATGTTAAGAAGGCGGACAAAAAATGAAAGTGAAGGAATTAGAGAACTAACATTTATTGAGTTTCTTTTGTTTGCCAAGATCTTTGGTACATGCTTTACATGAAAAAAATGCAATGTTGGAAAGTTTTCTAGTTCTTGACTAATAGTACATTATAGTAGTGCAAAATATGTCTTTTTGAAAAAAACAATCTAGTAAAACCACCTGTAATTTAAGTCAATCAAAATTTGGGCATAATTTAGGAGTTTAAAATCACTTTAGAATGTATCTTGAATTTTTTTTTTTAAAGACTGGATATTGAAACCCTTAAAAATGTATAAGAAAGATCAGTGCAATTGAAAATGTCTTTCCCACAATTCTCCCTTTGGGCATTTGCTTTGTCCTCACAAGCACCCAACTCACGGCCCTGCCTCTTGCTCCTCTTATCCACAGCCAGCCCACTATTATCAGATGTGCAGGATGGAATTCAAGCCCACATGACTCGGCCTCCTCACACTAACAGGAGAAAGTAGAAGGGACTACGTTTTAACCAGCCTTTGGAATTGCTGGGTTTCCTAACAGATTGGGAGGGTGGGACAGGCAACTAGAAACGTTGACCCCTTCACTTTAGGATGAATATGAAGCCAGAATCCCCAAGTTTTTAACCTTGCACATGCTGAAGAAGCTGGGGCTTTACATGCGTTCATATCCTCTACTGGGCCTCTTTCTGGCCACCAGGCATGCTGTTAGCAAAATGACAAGCAGTCCTGCGACACTCAGGCCCACGGCCACAGGCATTTCTCTCCTGTTTCTGTCACTGAAGCATTCATCTTCTGTAATTGAAGTCAGAGTAAAGGTGTTACAGGCTGGCCACGTGCTGGGAATGGCTCCCGCCCCTGCCTGCCTCAGCTTCCCAGAGAGGGAAGGCAAGGGAGTGCGGGAGCTGCTGGGCCTCCCGCCTGCTGCCTCAGACATACCGATGGGTGACGAGGAGAGAAAGGGTCAGCACGTGACCTGGAACATGTGGTGCTTGTGATCACTTAAGGAGTGTAGGAAATTGTAGATACCCGGGCCCCACGCCCAGGAAATGATGATTCAGGGGGTTGGAGGTGGGGCCAGGTCATTCTACTGCAGCTGGGAGGCAGCTCCAACTTTGAGAAGCACTGGATTGGTCTAGAGGGTCAGACGCAGAATTGTGTCTTGACTCCCGAAGTAGGGTAAGCCCTAGAGACATGGTTCCCAACTCTGGGAACAGGGACCTGCACCAGATCACGTGGCCAACATTTTCTCTTCGAACTCTTAAAGGGGCTCCTAGACAGCCCCGGGGCTCCTGACACCCAGAGGCCTTTTGCCAGCTCCAGGATTTTCATGAGGAGGGGTTGAGAATGTGGGAGTCCGGAGCCTACTGTTTGGGGTGATCATTCTCTTTGAACAAGCTGAACATTTATACTTGAGTTATTATGAGAGGGATGTTTTTGAAACTGAAGTTCAAGTCCTGGACATGTGTAGAACTCCTTGTAACACTGTTTTCCCAGCAGGGAAAAGAGGGGCTTTTGGGGAAAGTTACCCTGGTCCGCCCCTCAGCCTTCTTTCTAGGACCTGCTTCCCCCTGTGGCGGTTAAAACCCAAAGCAGAAGTTGCATGGAAACTAAGACTAACTGTAAGGACACTGGGACGAAGGGGACCAACAGTGCATTTCTATCTTGAATTATGGCATTTTTTTCCTTTTCCCTTTGTAGATAGGAAAGAATCTCTTCCAAAGTCTTGCATTTTAGACATCACTAATGCTCAAGACATTTAAAGTGTTCTCCGAATATACCTGAGTTTACTAGTTCTCACTGATTGATTTTGTGTGTATATGTGTAAATGATTCAGAATATGAGTTTTGGTCAGACAAGGAGAATATATTCCCCTGTGGGAGGGCAGTAGACATGTGTGGGTGAAGGTGTCTGGTTTTGAGATTGGTATTGACTCACAGGGAAATGGTAAGAGGGAGAGTCAGCCAGGGAAACTCGGCCCTAAGAGCTTTGTGGAGTCATACTGTTCTAGGAAATTCATGTGATCCTTGTCCCTGTGACAGCTTCAGACCACACACACACACACACACACACACACACACACACACACACACAGCAAGCCACACACACATTTGAAACTACTCATGGGTCTCTGAAGTTTATGTCTGTGACATGATGAAGCCTTAACTTACCATTTCCAAAGTGGTCATCTTCGAAATCAAAGGCTTGAAGTTGCACATTCATTGTTTTCAGTTGCAGGCAAGCTGACAGCTGAATGCTCTGTTCACTCACACACTTGAAGGAATGCCCGGTCACAGTCTCAAACAGCATCACACCACTTTTCATTCCATGGTAACGTTTCTCTGAAAACACAAAGGTGAAATACAGACACATAAGACTCTTGGCATGAATCTACTGAGTCCCAGCTTCGCTGGGTGGCCCATGTGCAGTTAAAAGGCCGCCTCTTAGATGTGGCTTCCTGGCGGTGGAGTTCTGCCTTCTCCTCATAAAAAATTACACTCATACTCTTTGGGGGCTTTTTATGGTGCTCTGTTTGGACTTGCTGTAGACTCTTGCATTTGTACATGCAAATATGCTACACAATGTACTGCATTATCTGTGTACACTGCTGTACCATGTGTTATGTCACAGGGTCATCTACTGCTATCACCCCTACTAACATTATGATGATCATTACCATTGTAATTATAACTTATTGCTCTTACTAATAACACCACCACCACCTACATGGAATTGTCATTACTGTGATATCATACACAGTAATGTGTTCAGCTGCTGCTGCTACTGCTGAGCCCTGCTTATTGAGACCAGGAGTTGTTTTATCTCCTCCCTCTGCCCCTAAATTAGTTTCTGGCCTTGCTTTCCCTCCTCCTGCTTCTTGAGACATTACAACCCTATTACTGGCTAAAATTTGCTCCATGCATAATGATAACATTAGCTAACACATGTTAGCATTCACAATACTTATTCCCAGCCTATGTGAGTACACTCACCTAAGAGAGTTAATGTATATGAAAGCGAGTTGTTGACTATGACATCCTACTTACATTTTACCAATAATCATTGACAACGTCCTCTCGAACAATATCACTATAATACAGCTAATATTTAAATTAGATATTTCTCCACATTTTCATTTCTTGGTGCATTTCATTAGTATAAGTTCCTTAAAAAGATAATAAGTTTAAGCCAGTCAAAGATAGAATTGTGAAAAGAAGAAGACAGACATGAATATTCTCAGTACAGTGGTGCTCAGTAATGATTTGTTAGCTAAATCTGGGCTTTCCAGAAAAACATGTGAGGCTTCTGAGAAACTCCCCCATTTTTCTGGGAGCATTACTTTTCTAGAAGCAAACATGGTAGAAGTTCACTCCACTTGCCTCACTCTGGGAATTCTTCCATATAACAACCCAACTGAACCTTCAGAATGTAAATCTGCTATATCATTTTTCTACACCAACCCCTCCAATGGCATCCTTTCACACTTTAGGATAAAATCCAACGCCCTCACCTTGCCTTGCCCCCAGGCTCTGCAAGCTCTGGCCTCGCTGCCCCTCAGACCTCGTCTGCTGCTTTGCTCACTGGCCCCTGCTGGTCTCTGAACACACCAGCAAGGTCCCTCCTGAGGGCCTGTGCACCCGTCGTTCCTGCCGCCTGGAAAGAGCTCCCCAGGCCCGGAAGTCCCCAGATCTCTCCGCTCACACTGCACCTCTTCAGAGAGGCCTTCCTCCCCCGAGGGCTTCCCAAAGGGCCTCCCTAGAACAACTTTCCAGTCCTGTCCACCCCACCCTACTTGTATTTTGCTCATAGCACTTCTCATCACTTAACTGTGTATCATCATTCAATGTGTCTGTTTATGGTCCTCTCCTCCCTTCTAGAATGTAAGCTCCCTGAGAGCAGATACTATCTGTTTAGATAATAATGGATTCCGAGTGTATTCCAGGGCGTGGCACCTACCAGGCACTAACTACATATTTTTTTTGGAATAAATGCATGATTCTAAGAATATAGAATAAACTGCACCATCAATAACAAATCTGTCTGAAGTCACTATACTCTTTACTGTTGCTGATAATGATTTCTGACATAATGTAGTCCAACCTCCTTCATAAGATGATGAATGAACTGAAATACACAAAGATGTAGTAAGTTCCCCCAAATTATATGTACTGTGGGTCACTTTCTCAGCCTGTTTCTCAAAAGCAGCATCGAAGATTGAAGAACTCAATCGGATTAAAAGCGAACTAACCAGAAACAGTATCATTACTGATACAACAGCCTTCTCTTGCTTCTTACCTGGATTTGAGGTGGTCAAATAGGCTTCCACTTCACTGATATAATAGGAGTTTTCACCCTGTAAAACATCAATGTGTTAATCTTTGGGTAATCTGTTTCCATGTTTATGATTCTGGCATATAAACTTTGTTCAGGCAAGATTCCAGCTATTAAATCCTTGATATGAGGGTTTGGGATATGTTAGTATGGAGCCATAATTGTGTTTTAAATTTTCCAAAAAAAAGTAAATCGACTACATGATAAATAAATAATAAGTAATGCCTTGCCCCTGGCCCAAAATTTCTCTGCTGCCTCCTTGCCGCTACAGTCTGAAGTTAAAATTCTACCAGTGCGATTTGAGTCCGTTCAGTTGGGCCACTTTTCCCCCTATAAAATGTAAATAACATCTGGAAGGTGGAGGGGTTGGTGGAACATACATTAAGCTTTTGTAATTAATATCTTAGGGTTTAAACCGAGACCACGCTTCCTTCAGGCTACCACGGGTGGCCTCAAGGGAGGTCTATAAACCCTCTGGGGAAAAGCGGCGCATGCAAAATTTTGCCTGCATTTTCCTGGGTAGAGTATCAAGTCCTTTGAACAGATAGGTTCATGTTTCCAAAATAGTTACATGGGGCCACAGTGAGTGATTCTGGAAAGAAATCGTTTACCCCAAGAGCACTAGGTGTCTGTACAAGAGGACCCCAGGTGGTTGTGCCCAGAAATATAAGAGTTCCACATTTTATCCAGAATTTCAAATGGATTTTTCTTTAGAAGTTTCAAATCTAGGCATTAAAGAACTTTAACAATAATAGTCTTGTCCACATTAAAACCCATTTGTATATTATTTGTGGATGAAATAATTCCTTACACAATATAAGAGTTTCAGAAATACAAATTGTTTTAGGAAGGTAACTGCTATTCATACACTGAACTCTAGATCTGAAAATTCATTAAATTCATCTACTATACACTGACTTCTTACCTTGTGCCAGGTACTGTAGCAGGCATGTACTATGCTGTGCTTTATTTAATCCTCACAACTGTGAGAGAAAATGCAGGTTCAATGATTTGCCCAAGGTCATAACCCTAATAGGTGGCAGAAAGCTATGACCCCAATCTGCCTGTTTCCAAATATAGCCTCTAACCCCTCTTACATTGACTCTAGACCAGGCATTGCTCTATGTCTAGGGAGAAGAGTAAGACCCGGCCCTTTCTTTTGAAGTGCTTAGTCTCAGTTCTCAAAGGCTAGTTTAACAATGTGCTTTGAGCATCTGTTCATTTTATTTATTTATATCCTCACCCAAAGATACGTTTACTAATTTTTAGAGAGGAAGAGAAAGGAGAGAGAGAGAGAGAGAAACATCGACTGCTTGCTTTCCATACATGTCTCAATTGGGGATTGGACATGCAACCTAGGTATGTGCCCTGACTGGACACACCAAACCCACAATACTTCAACCAACTGAGCCACCTTGCCAGAGCAGACCATCCATTCATTTTAGAGAGAAACATCTATGATCCCGTCCCTTCTTGGATTGCTTGCATGTACTTTTTATTCAGATTTTTATCTGGTTTCCTTTTAGCATAAGAGATACCTGTATGTACTTCTGTACCCAAAGCCACTCTTACAAGAACCCTGCTCCATCCTAAAGGCAGAGAGTATCCACTGAAAGGTTTTAAGCAGCACAGTGACAGAAGGATGACTTTGTTTTTGGAACTTACTTGGGCTGCAGTGTGAGATTGACTTAAGGAGCAGCAGGGAGTGATGAGAGCAGCTCTGAGTCTCATGGGAAACGGCCTGGAATCTCCCTTTTTCTGTGGCACCTCCTTGAGCTATCCTTACACAAAGAAGGGATGCTTTGTATTTCTATAAAGGTTTAACAGTTTACTAAGCATATGTTTTCACCTGCGTTGTGTCCTTTGATTCTTGCAAACCCTCCTGAGATTATTAGGGCGTCCATTTTATAGCTGAAAACAAAGAGGTTCAGTGAAGTTAAGCATTTACCTCTGGTTCCCATTGTTTATAGGTCAAAGTAAGGTCTTGTCTACAGGATCCTGCCTACATTTGCCTCCATTGGAATGTGGGAGTAGACAAAAATTCTTTATGCAAGAACTTTCTTTCACATTCTCTGAAATGCAGCTGCTTATATTATCCATCTGTTGGAAGCAGGATCAGCTACATAATTTGTGGGGCCTAGTACAAGAGAAAAATATAAGATCTCTTGTTCAAAAGTCATTTAAGAATTTCAAGGGGTGACAGCAAAGCATCAAACCAAACACAAGTCCTTCTGACTGCACAGCTCCTGTGTCCATGGAGCTGGACCTGATCAGAAGGGCCGTTCCTGCTCCACAACAATCAGTGCTCGACAGGGCTAATGCCAGAGGTGAGGCCTTCCAAAGCAGGTGGCACATGGCACGATACCCGTCTTCACCGTAAGCCCATCTGAGTGAAGTAACAGGACAGAAGCCAGAGCCAGTATCCAGGTTCCCTTCTATTTGCACTGAGTCAAAATTCACCAAACATTGCCTGGAACTGGGCTGATGTCTATTTTCATGGCAAAGGAAAAACATTTGCTAGGTGAACTCATGTGAACAGAAGGGGAAGGAGATGTTAGTTTTCTTGAGAGTTCACGTTTTATACACATAGTTTATGCTGATCATATCAAATGAGTCTTATCTAGACAGCTGTGCTCACTTTTTCTGTGGAGTTGTGCTATTATCGGAGGTTCTTAATGGATATAAAATTGTCTTGTTTAAATTAGAGACAAGCATTTTTTTATACTTGTAAATTAAATATTTGGCATAATTTGAATAGTAATAGGTGTCTTCTATTTTGAGGAGTTGGCAAGGTTTTGTTTTGTTTGTTTTTTTAAAGAGCCAGATGGTAAATATTTAGGTCCTGTGGTTCTCAACTGCTGCTGTTGCACTAAAGCCACCATAAATGACACATACACAAAGTATGGCCATGTTCCAAAAAACTCCATTTATGGACACTGAAATTTGAATTTCATGTGATTTTTGTGTGTCACATCATATACTCCTTTTCCTCTAATCATTAAAAATGTAAAAGTCATTCAAAATTCAATCCTGCAGATTTTATATTTTTTGGTGGCAGGCTGGATTTGGTCTGGGGGCCATCATGTGTTAACTCATGATCCACACCATCAATGAAAAACAGGGTTGCTAAACAAATCAGCTGGTTATGAAATGTTATAAAGGAATAGCTTACCTCCTATTTGGGAGAATGAAGTGTTGCTAAGAATTTTTAAATATGACTTTGAAATATTTATTTGTTCCTTTGCACCCTGGTTTAAGTTGTCAAATCTTTATGAACATTCTCAAGATTTAGTTTTTTTACTTATTCAGTAGAAGAATGGGAATAATAAAAACAGGACTTATCTCTTAATTTGATGGGAAGATTAAATGAAGGGATCCATGCAAAAAACTTAACACAGAGTATATATTCAAATTTTACTTGGCATTATTAACAATGGTAATAATTAATTAGATTGCCCCTTTCTGGTAAACCTCTCTCATTGAGGCTAAATGATATGTTTTTAATCTATTTCCTAGAGCTCAGATCTACTACAAATAGAAAAAGAGAGAATGGGTAAGTGACTAAACTTAGGTAGCTCTATTGATTAAAGAAGCTGAACCCTGAGCTCTCTGGGGATAGCAGCCAGGTGGTGATAGAGGAGAGGGGGTGGGGGAGCTTCAAGCAGGTGTTAGATTTAACCCATAGCCCAAGGGAAATTACATGTCTCCTGTTATTCAGTTTATGGTGTCTTTTTTATCTTTATTGCCCACACCCACACGGTCATTCTTCTCTGACAGACGTTTTTCTTATTTGGGGTTTGGTTTGGAGAATGAAAAACATCTACCATGCCAGGCTCTTGAAGACAAAAATGAAACTCCTTTGTGTACCTATCAACATTGACGAAAGGGGGCCGAGGACTCCTTGCAGCCAGGTCCATTCGAATAGACCACTTGCAAAAGTCTCACCTCATTATTCAACAGCTGGGTTGCTGACACAGCGGCCCGTCACTGCCGGTATGGAAAGAGAGCTCTGAAATATCTCATGAAAGAGATCCTAATTCCTCAAAGGACCTAAACACCCTCCCTGGCAAAGGATGGGGTCCAGAGCAAGCCAGCCAATATCGCCTGCTCAGGAAGGCAGCGTGCCAATGGCTGCAGGCCCAGGGTCCTCTCCTTTTCTTCCGCAAACCGTATTGTAGGAGTTTCACAGTCACAGATGTTCAAGATGTGAATTTTGTCTTCGACACCTCTCAGGTCTTTTTTGCCCAGCATTGTTGTGACTACAGCAAGAAACCTTTGCTCTGGATATAGTACAAGGAAGCCAAAGAGGCTGTTTCTTTAAAGCTGCTGATCTACTTCTTGGTGCCTTGGCCCGATTCTCTGTGAATTTTAAATTCAGTCCTTTATTGATTTATTTCTTCATCAAACATTTGCTATGTACTATGTACGGAATCAGGGCTGTGCGCTAGAGAGAGAAATGTGACTAAGTCAGAGAGAGCAGGAGGTGCGATGAGGACACTAACAGAGGTGGGCGGGCAACAACTGGAGGCTCAGAGAACTAAGAGAAGAAAGCCTCTCAGTGTTACCTGGGATGGAGAGGTCAGAGTGGGGGAGACTTCATGGGTTGAAGGTAGTGGAGCCATCTTAAAGGATGAATGCAAAAGGAGGCTGGTGCGGGGGGAAAGGCCATCCAGGCAGAGGGAAAGGGAAAACAGGGCAGAAAGTGGTGCCATATGCTTGGGAACTTCTAAATAGTGCCCCCTGTGGGTGCTAACATCAAACAGTGGTCACAGTTCTCAGGAGTCTATAAGCTAGGAGGACTCCACAGGCCCCTGGAAGGCTCTAAGAAACACGAGGTGGGGCAGCAGGGGCAGCAGAAGCAGCAGCAGCAGCAGATTGCTGGACCTCAGCTGCCCAGTATATTGCGTAGCCCTGTTGCACCTCCCTCCCTGCTGGTGACTGATGTCTCCCGTGTCCTGGAGCTGCCCTGCCAACCAGGAGCATAAGAGAGGGATAGTGCTGAGCCTGCGCTCCACACAGTTACTGAAAGGTGTTCTTAAAACCACCGAACTCTCTGGGCAGGAAGGAAGCTGGCAAGGGAAATGAGGTGTGTTTACCTTTCACCTGGAGGGCCTGAACAACTTTCAGCATGTCACTTTAGTCACATGAGACCCTGCCATGGGAAGGTTTTCAGTTCTTTAAAAAAAATGAAACTGAGAGAAATGAGAAAGGAAACCCACCTCTCTTAACTCCACTGCGGACCAGAAACCGTGCTTAGCATATGCTAGGCCAGTTCACCCTCACGGCAGCCGACAAAACAGGTATTGCTTGGCCCCATTATGCAAGAGAGGAAACAGACTCAGGGAGAGAACTAGCAACTTGTCCATGGTCACATGGAAATCATATGGCTAATTTAAGTCTTGACTGAACAATAACATCAAGTGACAGCTTAGGAGGCAGGTTTTTCTCTCTGTTCCTGTCACTACATTTCCATTGAAAAAATTACAGATTATTGTCCACGACTTGAAACTTGGAACTACAGCCTATATTTCTTTTCTTTTTCCCCATAACGTCTAGCTCAGGGTTGAGGATGATCTAAGTGCTCAGTGAATTCTTACTGCTAAATTGGTCGATAAATCAGGCTTGCTAATCAGCATCCATTTATCAGTCTACAACTTGTGTCTCATTTGTACCATCGATTGCATTATAACTAACATATACTCCTGTTTTCCAAGGCCCTCTTTTTCTCTAGAACACTGGTTCTCAACCAGGGTGACTTTGCCTCCAGAGGACATTTGGCGATGTCTGGAGACATTTGGGGTTGGCATCTAGTAGGTAGAGGCCAGGGATGCTGTTCAATCTCCCATAAGGCACAGGATAGCCCCCACCACAAGGACTCATCTGACCCCAAATGTTGCTCCTGCATCTGTTGGGAGACGCTGTTGTAGACTGTAGCAATATTTGAAAAGTGGCTGACTGATGGGTTAAGACTATTCTCTTGTGGAAGAATCTAGACAGCTTTCCTGCCCCCATGCGTTTCACACAGCCCGCCTGTTAGGGCAGAAGGCGCGGCGCTGGGTCCCCAGGCCGAGTCTGGCCCACAGCTGTGTTTTGTTTGGCCAGGAAAATGTTCAAATTTTTAACAAATGTGTTGCCAACACTTAAAAATCATGTGTTTTTAGAAAAAGATTCTGAACTTTTGCCTTTTCTTAAACAATCGGAAGATCAGGCAACGCTGGTGTCTTGTTATCACCTGAGAGGAGTGATGCGCAGAATGTTTAACAACTGGCGCAGAAGGGCAGTGTCTGCCATCAAAGACAATGACAAGTGCCTGGGCTAGACGCCAGCCCCACCACTGGCACCACCAGCTGCAGCTGTGGAGTGGCTGCCCCTCTGGGCAGAACGGGCACTCCCTGGCCTCCCCTTTGTCTCCTTGCTACAGAGGCCTTATTAGTTGCCACTTACATCCCATGCTTACTCTTAATGGTTTTCTTATGCAGATTTAATGGAAAAATGAAATCTTCCTTTGCATTGGTCTTCATCAACAGTGGGAAAATATATACACTGCAAGATGTGGAAGAAGACATAGAAGACCTAGGGCCATACGGTACAAAGGCAAACTCCTTCTAGAAATGTTGAGAGTACTCGGTTATGTATGTCCTTGCCAATATTAGGTATTATTCTATTTTACAATCTTTGTTAATTGAATTAATTAAAAATATCTCGTTATTAAAGAAGAAAATAAAAAGTTATCACCTGTTTCAAGGAAAAAGGGAACGTTGCTTAGCCCCCTGTAATCTTTGAATTTGTGGTTGTTTGGGGGGGGGGGTTTAAACAAGCTCTCTTTTTAAATACAGACATTCTTTAGACAGATTAAGGGTAGTGGGAACTTTGACCTCCTGTTAGCCTCTTTGCTCTCCTCTTGATGCAAAGTGAAGTCAGCTGCTTGGGGGACTGGTGCAGGGGGAATGAGGTGGATTTGGTGGGTGAGACCCAAAGCCGCTCCCTTGACACATGGGGCTGTGGATGGAGAGTGGCTCACGGGGCTCCCTCCTGAAGGTGGGTGCAGGGAGGGAGGGAGGGAGGCCCTGCTGCTCCTTCTAGCCCAGCCTGGGCACTCGTTTCCTGCCCACGCCTCTGGAGGTACAGAGGACTTCCAGACAGGCAGGAATTCAGCCCTTGGGTGGAGTTCGATCAAACAGAGACCAGCCTGAAGGCCTTGGAAAGGCAGGGACAGGAGGCATCAGGAGACAGGAAGGCAGCAAAAAGAGAAGTCGAGGGCCCTAAGAAAACTCGTGCGAGCGGTTCTGCCTACGGCCTGGCAGCAGTGGCTGTGGTGAGCCGCAGTCGAACGCTGAGGGAGGTTGGTCCGTCCTCCCTCAGCCAAGCACCCCCGTGAGCGGGGGCCTGGTTACAGTCCAGCCCTGAGCTACAGCAGCAGTGCTTACACCTATATTCTCTGCCGTTGTACTGAAGTGACTTTTTAAGATCCCTTCACACCTCTATACTTTAACTTCAGTTGTCCCGGGACAGAGCACTTATTCTGCCCCTGACTGTTCTTCTGGTGAGAGAGATCATGTCTTTTCCATCTGGTGCTGAAAGGAAACTGCTGACTTCTCAAGTGCATCTCTATCCTAAGGACAGAAGTGTCCACCAGGGGGATCAAGACTTCGAGACCAAGCTAATAACAGGGAAATCACTAACGACCCCTTGTATTAAACATTGTGCTAGACGGTTTATATATGCCATTTCTAATCCTCCCAAGGGTCCTATTAGGCAGATGGAATTATTTCCATTTTATAGATGAGGAAACAGCCCCAGTAGACGGAGATCATGCAGCTGATAAGTACTATGGCTAAGAGTCAATACTGGTTTGCCTGACTCAAAGCCTGTGCTCATTCCTATCCCAGAGCTGCTAACTGTGGCCCCTATAACTTCAGGGGTCACATTAGACAGGTAAGAAGGGGATGACACAGAGTTCCAGCCACGAGGGTCCTCTCGGTACCTCCCTCTTGGCTCTTACTCGGCCTGTATTTAAAGACTCTTTGGGGCACGAGTGGGATGACCAACATTGTCTCCCCAAGGCGTTTGTCCATTTCAGTCATTCCAGTCACATAGTTCCTGCTTGTGGAACATCTACGTTCCTTGTACTGGACAACACTCTTTACAGAGAGGATTCCTAATTCCCTTCCTCCATTTTTCAAGTGAGAAAATAAAGCTCAGACAGTGTAAATTGCCTGCCTGATGTCACAAAGAGAACAAATGGCAGGATCAAATTTGCAACTGAGGCTCTGACCTCATGTCCATGTTCTTTCTGTTCTAGTGGTTTACGCCCTCCCAGGATATGGTCTGGAAAACCCAGGGCCTGGTTAGTCCCTGAATTTTGCCTGTGGTTGGAAAGACCCATTCTGACATTTGGTTTTGTTCTCAGACTAATCTCCTTTCTCTGGTGTCCACTGGGAATTCCTCTGGGTCTGTTCATCTCTAAACTTCCTCCTTTGGGTGGTTTGCAAAGGGCGCCTGCGGCCAGGTACCTCAGGGCCAAGTCTCCCCTAAGAGGCATCCAAGGCCTTCTGAGCTGCACAGAGAGAAGGCTGAAGGGGGAAGAAGGCAAACATAAGATGTCGACACTTTCCTCCTCTCCATCTCCATGCCCCTCGTTCTTATCAGAGAACATCTCAAAAGGCCCTGAGGCCTATTTCCCCTGGAACTCAAAGTGGAATGCGGGATTGCACCACCCGGCCCAGGGCGAGGGGAAAGGACAGCGTTGTGAAGGAGCTCAGTCCTCACCTTGGTGAATGTGAAGTTCACAAATCCGCCCTGGAAATTCAAGAGGAGGTTGGAATTTAGGAAGCCACAATTCCCAGAGGCTTGGGTTGCATTGGGGTCGATGCTGAAGTATCGCTGAGGTGAAAAAACCTAAATCAAATAAAATAGATCAGCTTTTTTGAGATACAGGAGAAAACTCTAGCTAGGGAACTGGAAGCACAGACTAGCAAGTGAGCTTGAAACTCTAGGCTAATGGTTGTTACCTTGAGAATTTCAAAATCCCTGGATGACACCTCATATCTCTATACTGTTATGTTCAAAAGATTTTTTAAAGGAGTTCTCCCACAGCAAGGAGCTCCTTGGTAGAAAACTCGTGGCAGGTCTATTCCTGATAAACTGAGTGGAATTTAACTTTTGTTAGATTATACGTGTTAAAAGATATGTAAGAAAGGTTTGCTAGGTAATACACTTCTGCTTCAAATGCGGAAGTTTTATTTGAAATCATAAAAACTGTGCCAAAAAAGAAAGTACAATTTTTATAGCGATTCCTTGAGTAAATCAAATAATCTCAGCCTCACCCTCAGCCCCTCCAATCTCCTTGTTAATCTGGATTTTCCATATTAGTGTCTGGCTGGAGCCAGACATATTAGTAGCTGGCTGGAGCCGTGGAGACTATCTAATCCAAACCTCTCATTTCACAGAAAAGTTACTGAGGCTTGGAAGTCACCGGGTGGGGGCGGGCCAGGCTGGGGTCAACTCTGAACACACGCCAATGCTCTGCCTGCGTTGGCTGAAAGTGAGGGGTATGCAAATTTAAATTGCTGGTGTGTGCCTTCCTCTCTCCAAGCAGTCACTGTTGTTTCTATTTTTATACATACTCTCAAACAGATTCACCTTTTAATGAAACATCGTGGAGAAAGAGGTGCTCACATGTATGTGTTTCATTAAAAGACACAGGATGCAGGGGAATGCTCATTCTTGGCAAGGGAAACTCCGGTCAAACTTTTTGAAGATGGTGTTGCAGGCCGGCGGCCCCAACTTACCGACTGCTTTTCTTGAACCGTCAGCTCTATCCCCATCTCTGCTTTGATACAGAGCCTGCTTCCGTTTAGGACTTGATAAATTCCAATCTTGGCTGATGATGGCTGAGGCGCAAGGGTGGGCCCAGGAGCCATGGTGGCAGGTGAGGCAGTTGGGGTGGCATTGTGTGCGGCTGTGGTTGTTTCTGGGGCATGGCTGGGTTGACTGGGCTTCTGACTGGTTGTGCTGGTATGTGGTGAGGTGGGCAAAGTTGCAGGAAGGGTGGTCTGGTTACTGGGTGGGATGGTCTTCCCAGTTGTGTGGCTGACAGTCGATGGGCTGGTTCCCATTGTATGGGCTGGTGGAGTGATGGTGGGTGGCGGTGAAGCGGGAGCTGCGCTGGGGCCGACTGTAGCCTCAGTGACTGGAGCCGCCGTGTGCGAGTTGTTGGGTGTGGCCTGGGTTGTGAACGGGGTGTGGGTTATTGGGCTGGTGGATGGGGTGCTGTTTGTAGTTATCAAGGAGGTTGCTGTTAGAGTTTGTAATGTTGTGTGTGTGGTTGAGATCTCAGGGTTGGAGGTTGTGGCAACTGTTTGAGAGGTGATGTGATCACTGGTTGATCTTGCTGCTGTAGTTTTGTGAGGCTCTTGGTTAGTTGGCTGCAGAAAAGAAGGTTCTGCTGTGGCCTGCACCGTTGCTGCCCTCGTGGGCTGAGAAGAGCCTGTGACTCCTGGAACGCCTATTGCTCTTGCTTGACTGCCATAGTGCAGAATCACTGCAAATTCAGAAACAAAAGTGTTAACGCCAACTAAGAGTTCACAAAGCCCCTCCCCCATTCTTCATTAAAAATTAACGTGTATTTTCAGATTGGGAGGAAATTTATAAGGATATAACAATCAAGTCAAGGTCACCCAAGATTCTACCAGAAGGCCACAGCTGTAATGTTTTAGTTGTAGCCATATTTTTTACAGGGTGGTGATCATGCTGCATCCAGCCCCTTTGTGTAGATGGGGTGTGGTCCTAACACACCAGCTGACCATGCTCAGTGAGATATCAGAGTGGCAATGCCACTTCATTCCCCATCTTCCAATGTGAATCCAGATAGTTCCTAGGAAGACGGTGTTCCTGGGAAGAGCGCAGCTGCGATGGCCTGAGAGAGCTGGGGCAGCATAAATAATGGTCATGAGAGACAGCTGTGTAGTTGCATACAATCATATAATCTCAGATTCAAAAGGAGTCTTAAAGGTCATCTAGTTCAAACCCTAATTTGATGTGTGAATTGGACCTATTAGTATTTGCCATGTGCTCATCTATTCTATGCTTAATTACCTCCAATGACGGGAGAGTCACTACCCTTTCATTTTTTTGTCTACCGCCAGTTTTTCTAAATATAGACCAGTTCCTGTCATTCCCTTCCTGAACCTCTTGAGTGGCCCAGCCTTGCTCATGTAAGAAAAAAGGTTAAGCCGTAATCACTCTTCTACACCTGGCAGGCCTATCCTTCATGTTTTGGGTTATTCAGGGGTGGGCAAAAGTGGGTTAAATTACCAGCCATCATTACCTAAAATATAAGTCATAGGTACAGATATGAAATAATAACAATAATAATAAGAAAAAGACAAATAATACAAAGAAATAATACAAGAATTAATAAATAAAAATACAAGAATAAACCGTTTTGTGCGCTCACAACGGTAAACCTTCTTTTGCCCACCTCACATGTCAGTCCCTCAGAGAACTCCCTGTCCCCCTGTGTAAACCAGCTCTCCATCCTGTGACTCCCCGCCACAGTGGTGCATTTGTTGCCTTCACTGTGCTAATCACAACTTGTAATTACCTAAGGGGAATGAAAATATTTAGCAATAAGCCTGGCAAGACAGTGTATCAGAGTATCAGCTCTGATGAAATGTTTACTTAACGATGTATTTGCTGATTGTGCATCTCTTCTACTAGACAAAAAGCAATCCCGAGGTGGGAACTGTGTGTATTTTTTTTCACCACCAGTGCCTGTGCATAGAAAGTGTCTAGTGGATGTGGATTGGATGAATACATAACTGGATGGGCCAATGAGGATAATGGATTGTAGGTCTCTAGGATTATTGTAAGGCTCAAAAGAGTTGGTTTAAATGAAAGCCTTCATGGACCGATAAGCTGTGTGTATTATTGTCACAGGTTCTTTCTTGGGCCATCCCTGAAGGGCAGAAGGCCTCTGTTTCTTTTTCAACCCGCAGTTCTATCCTTGTCTCCTTCCAGGCACCTGGCAAGCCAGAAAAATGGGCAAAGTGCAGATTATGTTCTCTGGGAGTTTATGATCAGGTACATTGTCTCACTGTACCTGATCATAAACTTCATCTCTTCAATGTTGTGATTTCATTGTGTTTATACTCATTGAAGCTGTAGCTGCCTGGTGCTGGGCAGTGACTTGGGAAAACACTGGGAAAAGGCAAAGGAGATCCATCTATGTTGGTGTTTATAGGGTCTGAAGTTCCTATCTAATCAAAATCATCCCTAATCCCTTTACTATCTCCCTCTTTTATTCAACAACTTTAAATGTTTTCTTATTCCATAATAATAATAACACCTCCAAATTCCAAGATACTGGACACTTACCATAGGTTAAGGGTCAACTTTCACCAACTCCTCTCAAAACCCTCTGATTGGTACTATCTTGATCCCAATATTTCAGATGAAACTCAGGTTTAGAGTATTCTATCAAGTTAATCATAATCATACAACTACTACATTTTGGAGCTGAGGCTCAAACCCCTGTCTGAACCAAAGCCTGCCCTTGGATTTGGGGATGGTGGAGGTTGTGTGTGTCACTGGAAAGAATAGTGAGAGAAGAGACAAAAGCAGAGGATAACAGAATAGTAGGGTATCCCTCCGGGGACCCCAATTCACCAAGCCCTCGTATTGGTGATTCCTGGTGAGGCTTTCAAAGGCTTCGGTGCTGAAATAGTGATTATTTTCCAGAAAAATTCTAACTTTAAGCCCAGTAGTAACACATAAATCATTTCTGCACAGCTAGCGTGGCTTAGTGGGTGGAGCACCAGCCTGCGAACCGAAAGGTTCTCTGGTTCTATTCCCACTGAGAGCACATGCCTGGGTTGTGGGCCAAGTCCCCATCTGATTGGCTGGTTGTGTGTGAGAGGAAACCAACCAATGTTTATCTCCCCCTCTTTCTCCCTCCCTTCTCCTCTCTCTAAAAAATAAACACAATCTTTTAATAAAAACAATTTGTGCACAACTGCTTTCAATATGGGAAAGACAAAAGTATTAATTCAAATTGTCTTCAATAATCTTTCAAAGACATTATTACTTTTTTAATTCTTAAAAAAAATTTTATTCATTTTTAGAAAGGGGACAGGAGGGAGAGAGAGGGAGAATAACATTGATCAGTTGGCTCTCACACTCCTCTCTCCAGGGACCTGGCCCACAACCCAGGCATGTACCTTGACTGGGAATTGAACTGATGACCTTGCGGCTTCCGCGATTGCACCCAACCTACTGAGCCACACCAGTCAAGGCCAAAAACGAATTTATTAATGACATCAGGTTACTTGAGACTGCTATAAAAGAGTCTCTTTTTTTTTGTATCTAAATATTCATTGGGATAACTGAAATGTGTGATACTCAATTGTTGTGGATTTTATGGGCTGTAGATTTACTCATCAAATTACTATGTGTGGAAACATTATGCCCACATTGTAGAGCTTGGGGAAAGATTTTCCCATTCAAAATTGTTAGGAAGACTGACAGCTGTTGAAGATTTATTTTCACAATTCAGTTGGACTAAACCCGAGTTGCTGTTTCCTCAGTCAAAAACCCAAAGGAACCCCATTAAGTTCATACTATTACTATGAAAAAGGATAATTTACTCCCAGATGTGGTTTTCAGGCATATCTTGCAGTAAAAAGCAACTCTGGGAGACTGAAAACCAGTTGCCTTTTGTTCTCTTGGGGAGATCTTTAGATTTTTGATAAAATCCCATTGTGTACAGCTTAGGCTTATGAGCTAGAGCAAATCTTCTCAACTGAGTAACACACCCTTGAAAAGGGGGAGCCTTCCTCACAATGCCATTAGAACTCCTCTCTCAGTAATGATGAAAGAACGCCAATGAAGGGGGAGAAGCACAGTGGTCATTCACAGATGCACAGTATCTGAAACCGGAGAAGAAGACTCATGGTGAATGTCAAGGTGTGCTTGGTGAGGAGAAAGCATGTGTGGGGTGGCTGGAGGTGCTGGCAGCCATGGTGTCTTGATGTATAGTGTGTGCCTTTGTGGCGGGCAGAAGGCTAGGCTGGCAGGTGGCTGAATCAAAGTGACCAGAAGTGTTAGAGTGTGTAACAGATTGAACCAGTCTGGGAAGTGTTTTTCTCATATTCTTCTTCCCCTTTCTGGCACCTCCCCTCCGGTCCCCATCTCTCTGGAGGAGAGTAGGGTATAAAGATTGGCAGGTGATTAGATGGATAGCTGACAGAGGTAGGTACGCTGTTCATTGTAATATTGCCCAGAAAGTTCATCTATTTGTTAGGTACTCAATGGAAATAATACTCTGAGAAATACTCTGTTTTCCTATACACACACACACACACACACACACACACACACAATCACACACATATGATTAATCTTTGTCAAAATTATGTCATAGTTTTTAAATGAAACCATGAAACATATGGTCCCCCAGAGGTCAAGTTCAATGGTCTGAGACCCACAGAGAGGGCAGTGGGCAGAAGCCATGGCAGAGCATAGCTCAGAAGCTGTCTTGACCCTCCCTCTACTGAAAAAAAGTAACCCCAAAAAACCACAACCTGGAGTCCGCACACTGATCTGCCAGGTCCCCTGCCCCTAGTATGTCCTCTCCAGAATTGAGGAGACTTAGTAAACAAGTCCCATTGCTGGGACTCCTCTAGAGGATGAGCTGCCAGAAGAGGCACGAGAAGGTTTGCGTCCCTCCAAACTGCAGGAGCTGCTGAGAGATGACTCCTCGGCCAGGCCCTGGCAAACTCAGAGACCACACAACGGCTTCTTCTTCAGGTACTTTCTGGACAGTCAGTCCTTCCCAGATAGGCGTTGTTCAGTTTCCCTGCCACACCCAATCGCACAGAAATGTAGAAGTCTCCTGGGAGCCAAGCTGCATGTCAGGCACAGGGGGAAGGTCTTTGTTCTCAGGGGCTCAAAACCTCATGAGGCAGACACACAAATGGACCACACTCCTCAGTGTGATGAGGGTTACCAAAGTAGGCCCCGAGGGCTGGAGCGTGGTGTGAGGAATCTAACACAAGGTGAACGTCTTCCAACAGACAAGAACGTAAATGGTACCCCAGGTAGGAGGAAGCGTATGCGCAAAGGCACGGAGGTGCCAGAGCCTGGTGTGTTTGGAGAATAAGACGGGGGTCAGCATGATGGGGATGGAAGGAGGGTGGGGGGAAGGGGGCGGAGGCTGCGGGGAGCTGGGAGCCGGCAGCAGGCCGGGCAGGCCTTGGAGGCCACACTGCGCCTGTGGAGCTCTAAGGCACACAGATGGGATACAAGGAGCACCGTGGCCACGTCCGGAGACAGGGAGCTGCATTTAGCCCCGGAGCACTTTCTTTGGCGTGTCCCCAGGCAGCAGAAGCTGCCCCAGCTGGGTGCAGCAGGAAGCCTGTTTCTGGGTGTGTGTGGCGGGGCAGGAGTGGGCCCTTAGCACAAGTAGGCTCCCGATGTCACCGTTTAACCATAGACTTTTTAGCAAAAAGATATAAATCTTACCTCTGTTAGTTTCCTGTGGGACTTGAGATTCAAAGAGAAGCCCCACACAGAAGGGGCTCTAGCCCTGTGGCTGAGGCTGCTGGATGACTACCCCAAATCCCGGTCTCCCCTTTTCCCTTAGTAATAGAACTGCAAGTTTAATAGAACCTGCTGCCTGGCATAAAGAACCTTAAGTCCCAGTCCCCTTTCCAGCTGGGTGGGAACAAGTGACTAAATTTGAGCCCAAGCAATAGAAGGAGTAGGGTTCCAGGAAGGCTGCTTGAAGGGAGCTCAGTCACCTGTGTGGCTTCACCATTGCCGGTCTGTTTTTCTCCTTTACCCAGCTTGCAACTTGTATGCAATGGCTGGAGCTCCAGCAGACACCCAGAACCACGAGGAGACCCTTGGGGAAGAAGTCACACGTAGGATGGTGGGTCCATGAAAAGGAGCTACAATACCAGACATGGTCTGAATTCCTCTGGACTTGTTTTCACAGGAGAGAGAAATCTTGCTTAATTCATATTGTTTGGAGCTTGTCTCTCATGTGTAGGTGCGCCGGAACTTTAACTGACACAAACTGAAATCCCCTCATTTTAGTGGAAAGGAGTTTGGGACCAGGGAAGCAAAGTGACAGGGTAACAATTACACAGCTAGTTTACCTAGAAGCTATGTCTCTCCTAGCAAAGTGTCTAATGGCTGTCTCATTTCCAATTCAGCAAGTGTTTCTCGAACCTACGTGTGCAGGTGCAGTAGTGCAGAGCATGGGCCGTGAAGCCTGACTTCCAGGGTGCCTGTCTCAGGGTGCCCCTTGCTAGCTGAGTGACCATGACCAATTCCCTAAGCGGCCTCAGTACCCTCGTGTGGGAAACGGGGCATCTTCCCACGCTTCATTCACTCAGTTCAACTCTGCGAATTTGCAGCATTTCCTCTCATCCTGCAGTTGCATTTATTGAGCACTCATTGCTTTCCTGAATGTGTCAGTCATCTGTCAGCCATTGAATTGTCCCTGGGGTTACTGCCAGACTGAGGTCTTTTGCTTTATTAGCTTGCCCTCCTAACTGAAATGAAGACTTCCCCTTTTGCCTCCAAAGGAATGTGAGGCTCTAATTCTGAAGATGTGACACAAGAATAAACAGCCTGGAATAGGGCAGCTGGCCTGACCCTTCACCCAACTTTCGTAACAATTCATGTTACACTCAAGTGCCTCTGTGTCCCACAGCTGAGCATGTTAGCAGGCTGTGTGGACAGAGCTAGTTCCCGTACATGTTCAATTAGGTGGCTCTAGAAGGGAGTGTGAATTAAACAACAAAGCTGATAACAGCACACTAGAGGACTCTGTGTCTTAGAGAGAAAAGCTCTTGGTGAAAGCCGGGGTTGGGGGCCATAAAATAGACACAAAAATCTCAGTTTCCCAGACAGCTTCTCTGATCTGAAGTATAGCGGTAATATTTAAAAATCTTTGATATCTGGGCTTATAACTTTGTGAAATGGCACAATTTTTTCAGACCACATCTCATTCATCTTCACAGTTCACTGTATATATAATATAACATAGCATTTCCACTTGAGAAAAACAGGAAAACCAATAGATGAGGTGCTTTTACCAGACCATGTAGCAGGAACCCCACATCTAAGTCCTGGCTCAGTTCTCCCTCTCTTAAATATAAGTGATCTCTACAAACTCTCCCTGAGGAGGTGCCCAGAACCCATTTGCGAGCCAGGGACAGAGTCACTGTCTTCTAGGGTCGTCACCTACTCTGCCTAACTCACAGAAAGCAAGTCCACACTGTTAAAGACCTTGAAAAAAGCGGAATTACCCCAGGTGCAGGGTAATAAGGAGGAACTGGTTCCCAAGCCAAATACCCACAGTATCTGAAGCGGCAACAGCTATCTATTGTTTGTCCTGTCTCACCTTGATCAGTGGCACCAAAATGCATTTAAGTTTAATACAACCAGACATGGCAGGTCACTATGCCAAGTAACATGTGTCACTCACCGGCCAGGGGCACGAAGAGCACCATCACTGGAGAGAGTAGCCAGGACATGACTGGGGGAGCCAGAGGGAGCCACGGACTTGCCAAGGGCTGGCGCTGCTCGCTGACCTGCTGGAGACCAATTCCAGGGCAGGTTCCCTTCTTCGCTTGTGGCAAAAAAAAACCCAAAGTCATTTACATAATGAGAAGTAGTTGGAAGGCCCTCCCCAAGAGGTGCGCTGCCTGGGGAGGGAAACCACAAGTGGCCCTTGGTAGAAAGCTTGAACTTTCATCTTTGCCTTTCCTGTTTGTGAGGGTGGGGGATGGGGGGTTGGGGGGGCCCTCGCCCCTGCAGTGTGGAGGGCATCTGAGATTACTTCTCTATCTGTGGGCAGTGCCAGCCTCTTCTCTCCTAAGCTGGATCTCCATTTTCCTCTAAGATCCTGCCTACGTTTCTGTAAACCCAGAGACTCTTTTCAGCCTGGGGACAATCAGTCCCTCAGTCACGAGGGTGGGCAGGAATCTTAAAAAATGACGGCTAGAGCACCGTCTGTCTCTGTGTGTACTCGCAAAATGTCGGAGGCAGCCCTGCTGGAGCCCCGTGGCCACCTGAGGACCTCACATTGTGAGGAGCAAGAGGGGCGGGAACTTGGAGTCAGGAAGACCTGGGTTTGAATCTGGCCCTTCCAACTCACCAGCCCTATGACCTTGGGTAACCTCTCTGTGCCTCAGTTTCTTCTGCTGTCAAATGCAGAAAATAATGCCTACTCCCAGGTGGTTTTACAAATCAAAAGTTCCTGTAATGCAAAAAATATTCAATATCTTTGAAAGGCAAATTTTCATGTCTTATATCCTTCTTTTATTAATCAGACAAAACAATGGTGGTCTCTCTCTCAGGCCTATGAGTTTCTCTTTCAGTTCTGTTTTTGCTTTGTGTGTTCTGAAGTTCTGTTATTGATGTGTGAACGTTTAGGACTGGGATGTCCTCTTGATGAATTAACCACTTTATCACTTTAAAACCTTCTTTAATTTTGGTCATATTCTTGTTCTGAGACCCACTTTGTTTTATATTAATATAGTCATTCTGGCTTTCTTTTGATTAGTGTTAGCATAGTATATCTTTTTTCATCCTTTTAATCTATTTGTCTTTATATTTAGAACAGGTTTCTTGTAGGCCACAGGGTAATCTTTTATTTTAATATCCAATTTAACAATCACTCCCTTTTAATTGGGGTGTTTAGACCATATAATTATTGATATGATTATGTTTATATCTACTGTCTTGGAAATTGTTTTCTTTTTTTTTTATGTGCTTGATTTCATTTCTCCTCTTTCTTGGCCAACTCTTAGATTACTTGTGTTTTTAAAATTCTATTTTATCTCATTTGTTGGCTTATTACTTGTAACACTGTCATGTTATTGTTGTGTTTGCTTTAGGTTTATAGTATATATCTTTAAGGTATCACAGTATTCTTTCAAATGATATTATACCAGTTCACATATGAGGACCTACAACAGTGTACTTCAATTTCTTCCTTCCTGGCCTCTGTTCTATTGTTGTCCTAACATTTTAATTCTGCATATGTTATAAACTCCACAACATATTGCTGTTTAAAAAAAAGTCAATTCTTTTTTGATGAGGAGGTTAGATCTGTACTTGTTTTGAACAATTATTTGGACAAATTGCCATGATTGTTTTGAAGAAATAACAAATATCTACAAAATAGGAGATTCTGTAAACAATTCTGATATCTTTTGTTGAGAGACCAAAATGAACAAACAAAAAACAAAAAGACCACACCATATGTTCTACAGCTCAAAAATTAAATAAATCCCTAAATTTCAACTTCCACTAAAATATTTAATTGGTGATATCTTACAGAAATAAGAGCAGTTTTTCCTCTAATACAGATAGGTATATACATATACATACACACACACAATCGAAGCATATCAAATTATTCTCCCTACAACTTCAACTCAAAAGGAATGCTATAGGAAACAAACAGAAATACTGAAATATGCTTATTATTAATTATAACCATGGGCTTTCGGGATCTCAGCAAGACAGAAGAGTTAGAGAAAAAACATTTATCTTTTCCTTTATCTTTTAAAGAGATATAAATAAGGGAAAAAACTTTTATACTCATGTGATTACTGTTTCTGTCAGTCTTCATTCCTCTATGTAGATCTTTGGGTTTGTTGTTGCTATGGTCACCCAAAGTGCAACACACATCTCAAATTTATAAACTGGGTTTAGGGTATGGGCTTGTTATTTCAAATCTGTTTCTTGAATCTCTGCTCCACCCTTAGCTTGAAGGTCTTCCCTGCAGTGTGTTGGAAAGTCTCTCCACCCACTGGTAGCAGTGCTCCAGTGTTACTCATTAGTCAGAACTGTTAATTAGCCTGAATATCTCTCAGTTATGCACCTACTGTGTCCTGGGTTGTCCGGGTGTTACCTTCAGTGTTTCTGTACCTCCCCCAGCAGTAGTTCTGGACCCAGCACATATTCCTGCCCCTCCCCCAGGACCAGAGGTTTGCATTTAATTCTGTTACCTTTCCCTAACTGGGTTGGATTTGAGACCCCTAGGGATATAAGTAAGTGTTTATTGCTTTCCTACAACAGTTGGTTCTGCTTTTGTTCTGTAGGAGAGATGAGGCATCGGGGTCTGAGCTGTTTCAGACCTCACCTGTATCAACTGATGTTCCCCTCCTCCAGGTCTGTGCCAGGAAAGGTGCTTTCTGGGCACTTTCCTAATCTTCTTTGTGAGCGGCCAGAGATCATTGGAGAAAAGTCTGCACAAGTAGATGCAAATTTCCCTTATATCTGTGGTCCCCAGGGATTCTGTTTTCTCTTGCAAGTCTACCCACACTGGACCATTAACAATTTGAGCTGAATTCTCCCTGCCAGTGGATAGCCATGCTTGCCCTAGGTGAGCAAGTGTTTGAGTCTCTCCTCATTTTGTAGGTGCCTGCCTGTTTCTCCTTAGATTTCAGATTAGATGTTGCCTTGTGAACTCAGCTCTCTCATGAGTTCAAGAAAAGTTGTGAATTTGCATATTTTCCAGATTGTTTTTTATCTTGCAAGTGTGAGGTTAGTACTTTCTAGTGTTCTACATCTCAAGCAGAAGACATTATTTTTAACAGCTACATAGAGTTTCATTGGATGACAGTACAATATGGTGTTGGCCAGCTTTTTATTATTTAACATTATATTTGTTATCTATTGTTGCTTAACAAATGGCCCCAAAACTTATCAGCTTAAAACAACAAGCATCTACTATCTTATGGTCCTCTGGTAATGAGTCCATAAGCACTTTAGCTGGGTTCTTCCGGCTCTGGGTCTCTCATGAGGTTCCAACCAAGAAATCGGCTGGAGCAGAAGCCATCTGAAGGCGTGACTGGGGCTGGAGAGTCTACTTCCAAGGTGGCTCATTCACATGGCTGTTGGCAAGAGGCTTCAGCTCCTATGTGTGAGTCTTGTCATGGGGCTGCTTCAGCGTCTTCTCAACACAGTAGCTGGTTTCTCATGGTGATTAATCCAAGAGACAGAATAAGGAAGAAAACAAAATGCTTTTTATAAACTAGTCTTGAAAGTCTATTACCATGCTATCCACCACATTCTGCTTATTAGTGCCATCACTATAGTCCACACTCAAAGGGAGCAGCATCAATTTGGGGACAAATTTTAGCAATACTACAGGCATTTAGGTTGTTCTCCATTTTCTGTGACTTGTTTTTCTATTAAAAGTAACATAATGAACACCTGTATGTATCTATATATCTTTATTTACTTGTATATAATTAAAATAAATTCCTAGAAGTGGAATTGCTGGATCAAATCATATACATATGTTAAATTTGATAGCCATTGCAAATTGTCTTCCAAAAATCTAGTACTAATTTCCACTCTCACCAATGGTGTATGAGAATACCGGTTCTCCTGTGGTCTCTCCAATACTGGATATAATCAAAATTTTAAATGTTGGACTGTCTGATAATGAAAAATGATCTCATTGTTTTGCTTTTTTTTCATATTGTTAATGGGTTTCGAATTTCTTTTCCTGTGTATATTCATGTCCTTGGCCAATTTCTTTTACTATTGTTATGCTATCGATTTGTAAAAGCTCTTTAAATACCTAGGAAATACTCTGTGTCATAAATTTTAAACAAATTTTTTTAAAGATTTTATTTATTTATTTTTAGAGAGAGGGGAAAGGAGGGAGAAAGAAAGGAAGAAAAACATTGATGTGCGAGAGAGATATCTGTTGGTTGCCTCTCACAGGTCCTGTTTCTAACCAGGCACCTGGCCCACAACCCAGGGATGTGCCCTGAGTGGGAACTGAACGAACAAACTTTCAGTTGCAAGACGATGCCCAACCCACTGAGCCACACCAGTCAGGGCTATGCCATAAAATTTGAAAATTTGCTTATGGTTTGACTTTTTGTTCTTTTTTCTACATATAAGTTTTTGCCATTTATATTGCTTAATTAACCAAGATTCTCTTTTGTAGCTTCTTGTTATAATTTTTGTCTGGGAAGACTTTACCCTATTCAAAATTATTTTTTAAATGTTTTGACTCTCATGATTCTCTTAAGTCACATATTTGAACAATACGAATTATTTTAAGGGCTGAGATAACTTTTATTTTTCCACATTGCTTTCCAGGGATACCAGCACCGCTTTCATACATAATTTATCTTTCTTGTTGTTCTGAACTAATTTGAAATGCCTCTTTCACACAGTAAATTCTGAGAGCTGTATTTGGGTCCATTCAAGACTTTTATACTCTGTTCCTTTTACAGTTGTTTATTCCCATAGTACACTTAAGTTCTCACTTAATGTTAGAGATAGGCTCTTGGAAACTGCAACTTTAAATGAAACATGTAGCAAAACCAATTTTCCCCTAAAGTGACTGATATAGACGAGAGTTAAGTTTCTACAGCATATTTCTGGTTACACAAACTCCATCAAACTTCTAAATAAAGGCCCAAAACACTTCCAATATTAAACATTAAAATAAGTGTGCACTATACATACATGTAAGACAGACGAATAAAAAAAGGAAGGTTATTATTTTCCAGCCTGTTTCTTCAGGTCAGGGTCAGGAGGTTTGGGGGGCTGGAGCCTGTGCTGGCAGCTCAGGGCGCAAGGC